TGCAGCTAAAATGCTTTAAACTGTCATCGTCTTTTTCCGTTTTTTTTTCTCTTTCTGAAGCATCCACATGTAATAAAATGCACGAGGGGATTCCTTACGTCTATCCCGTTGAGCGCGAGCACGTCATATGGCACGAGGAATCTTACGGCGAACTCCACCATCAGGCATGTCGTGCCGTTCTCCCGGACCGCGAAGATGGCTTTGTCCGGGTTATTGGAGAGACCGGACAGATTCTCTCCCTCCTGCTCCGCCAGCACCACGGACAGCGCGAGCACACCTGACCACGGAGATGAGCAGAATTTAAAGAGGGGACACACACACACACACACACACACACACACACACACATGCTCATGCACTCACACACGACACACACACACACACGGAAATCTGCAGAATCAGCAGAAATGTGATGGTTAAGCGGATGTTCGCCCACATCTCGAAACCGCTGTTTATCACCTGAGTTCCCTCACGACAAAGTCAAAATCAAGTGGAAATATCGGTGAGAGAAATCTGCAGCATCAGGGGAGCAACAGCACGCGCCTGGCTGCAGACTAAACAGCGTCAGAAAGTGACGAAGTTAAACTCTGATAATGTTTGAAGCACTTTTGGAATCGTGTGAGGATGAAATGGCAGGTGAAATATACGAACAACCACATACTGAAGTCGTGCTTAAAGGATGCACACACGTGCACGCGCACACACACACACTTACACACACACACTGACACACACACTGCAGTAAGGAGTCACGACAAATGCACACACACACACACACACACACACACGCACACACACACTCGCACACGCACACACACACACTCGCACACACACAGACAGTGCCTTACCAAAAAGCAGAAGTCTGGCGCTCTCCGTGGTGCTGAAACCGAGTGGACCCATTGCTCTTAGTTTCCCCGGTGCTGCAACAAAATGGGCTCAGTGACTGGGCAGCCGGTACTGAGCCCACGGAAAGAAATTGGAAAAAAGACAGTCAGAGAGGGGGGCGGGAGCAGAAAGAGAGAGAGAGAGACAGAGAGAGAGAGAGAGGAGGGATGCCTCCACTCAGCGCCCAGAAGTCATGCTCCGATCATCGTGAATGCAGCAAAAAATGTCTCCAGGTCGGACGTGAGATCCGGTCTAGGAGCCGCAGAAGCAGCTCGGAGCAGTCCTTAACAATCCACACCGACCTCTCACTGCAAGGTTGACTGTTTTCTAACCCCGTGACAACTGCAGGACTGAGCTTCTTCTGCGCATTTAAAAAAAAAAAAAGTCCGTCACCTGAGTTTGTCTTCTGTAGAGAAAGAGCAGGCAGGCGGTCTCAGTTATCCCCGCATTGCTGTGGTCTCCATCTCTATGTAGCTGCTGTAGGTTGGGCTGAAATGATGTATGTCTGGGGAAACGCCGACAACACCCCCGCCCTCCCTCCTTCCCCCTCCTTCCTCTGTCAAACTTCACTACTGCAAGGTTGAAGCTGAGAGTCCATGAGAACGAGTGCTTAAAAACATCACCTCATGTGCGCGGGGAAACTTTAAATCGCTTTTTGAAAGCAAATGTGGGCAGAGGGAATTTTACAGCAAATTTCTACAGTGAGATGTTTCAGAGTTAACGACTCACGTGATTCTAAAACAAGAACCACTAAAGCCTTTCCCTCAAATTAACGAACGGTCAGTTTTAGACTTTAAACGTATAGATTTAATTGTAGACTTAACATAGTGCTTATATATGTACACGAGAGACTAAATTGTAACCTATATGAATGTACTTAAAATACCCCCCCCCCACACACACACACACAGAGAGACACTCAAACACATAGATCCAACAACAGACCGTGATAAATTCACAAAGTAAACATTTATTCACTGCAACCATCAAAATCAACATGAATATTACACAGATGTGCTGAAAATAGAAACAGTTGAAGGGGTTGAGCACAGGACAAGTAAACACTTTTTAGAATATCATTTGTTTTTCATTGCCCTGCAGTCATCCACCTTCCATTTAACCCCCACCCTCTCCAAAAGGAGTGGCGTATGCTGCTTTACACCATTCACACTTAAACTAGAAGTTAGACTTCTTCTCTGCCGGTTTCCAGTCTGAAGCTGCCGCAGTATCAGACTGGACGCTCGATGGCTTTACGCACACAGCTTACACAACTTTGAGTTGTTGTTTTAACAGTTTTCCAGACTTGTTTAAAATTATTCCGGTTAATTTCCCTTTACTGTGTCCTCTGATTGATGGCGTCAGGATATTACAATTGGAAAAACTTTTTTAAATGATAATTTTGTTGTTTTACGGTAAGGACAACATAAGACATTGATGATGTTGGATGCTCTGTTCATTTGCAGAGAAAGCAGTGACGATCACGGACACTTTTTTGGTATGAATCTGAAAGTGTAGCTCTATTTCTTTCTGGTATGAATGGGTCTGAAAGTAAAGGGAGAGTTTGGAGAACACGTTTTACGCATGACGCACAGTAGTTTCTTTATGGCATTCTGAAGTGAAAGTCAAACTCGCATTGGACTGAGCTGATGCTGTCGACGCTGGGTTTGCTGTCCACCTTTGGATGTTTCATGATCTGTGGAAAAGTTTCCGATCGCGGCATTCTCCCTGAAATCAACACCGGATCAGGCTCAAACTCCTTCACGTCCCCTTTAAACTCCGGGGAAGTAAATCTGCGAAATAGTTTGCTGCTCAACGCAGAAAATGTCGTGGTTGATGTGGCACTTTGAAGATGTTCAGCCCTGCATGGAGAAGCTTCGCGCCTCCTCACGGTTCTGGATTCACGCAAAGGCACCAATGTGCGCTCCGGAGGAGTGGGGCTAAGGATACTGGTTGGCAGACTACATCTTTTCTGAAAGTAGCTCTCGTGAAATTTCCTCACACGGAAGTCTGACTTCTTGGATTTGTCAGTATCTGGTTTATTGTCACTTTCGTTGGTAAGTATGGGGGTCAGTAAGATGCCAAGAGCAGAGGCAGTGCTGCGTTTTGGAGACTTCCTGCTTGGCCGGGGTGAGAAGAGAACGGGGTTTTGAGCCTCACCGCTTTGTATCAGAGGACGGAGGGAATCACCAGAGGTGGTCAGTCCTTCCACCTCTCTCTGCTTAGAGATTGGAGAGTGGTTGAAAGATCGTGGAGGGGATTTAGGGGTGAGGACTCCGGAGAAGACTTGCTCATTTGAAGGCGAAAAGGAAAGGTCATCCTCTCTTTCTGACTCTTCTATGGAGCCCATCGTTGACAGCCGATTCTCCTTTATCCGAGGCCTGGCTTTCCAGATGCATTTTTGAACCAAATGACAATTTGTGTGATTACACGTTTGGATAGCCCCAAGTTTGTCCAATACATGTCCACGTTTGATTTCAAACTTTTCATTTCTGAAACTACTTCCATCTACCTCACGGGTTTTCTTGGCGCTGTAAGTGAGCGCAGAGATACACTCAGTGTGACCAAGAAACTTCGCCACCTCCACTGCTGAGTTTCCTGCTTTATTCTGACGGTCTACCTGAAGACCCAGCCTCTTGAAAGCTCTCACCAGAAACTCAACCACAGCTGAATGACCTGCCACTGCTGCATACATGAGCGCAGTGTTCCCCCATGCGTCCACAATCTCTGGGTCGGCGTTGTTCCGGACTAGGATCTTCACAGCGTCCAGGCAGCCTCTCTCACAGGCGTAACTGAGAGCGGTGCGTCCGTCTCCGTCCTGACTGTTCACATTGGCTCCTCTCTGCAGGAGGAGCTCTATAAACTTACACCGAGTCGGACGGTCGGGCAGCAAGATGGAAGCAATTAGAGGAGTCTGTGCGCCCTCTGTTTTGAAGTCCACGATTTCTCCATCCAGCGCGTCTAGAACGAACTTGGCGAGGTGGACTTTGCCTCTGTACATCGCCTCCAGGAGGATCTTAGTGCCCCTTTGTCCATCAGACTTCATCTGAGCTTTCAGCATGATTCTGAACATCTTTGTATATCACTGAGTATGTTTGGATGTGTCCCACAGAATAGTGTTGACTGAACAAACCCACCTCGCTTGTTTTTATAGTGAAGGGGACGCCTCTGAGTTTCCAGGCAACGCAAACATAATAAGCGCTCTTTGTCATGTAAATATTCTGCGTGTATTAAAAATCAAGAGCTTCAGCGCTGCATGTTCAAAGGTGGATCTGGATCATAAACTCGAGCTGCACTTGTTGAATGTGATTTGAGAGCTGTGGTTATTGTTTGAGAAATAAGTGCGGAGGTGTGTGTGTGTGTGTGTGTGTGTGTGTGTGTGTGTGTGTGTGTGTGTGTGTGTGTGTGTGTGTGTACACGTACAGGAGGGAGTGATGCTGCAGCCTACTGAATATCAGCACTGCTGTGATTCGGTCGTACGAACTCAACTAGTTCCACAATTTAACCGAAACTACACTGTTGCCAAGCAACCCATACACTCTATTCTATTGCTCTCTTGCTATTCTGCTGGTGTCCATGGTTACCACAGAGCAGCTACTTTGTAGTACCAACCTTTACTTGTAAAAAGTAAAGGTTGTTAAAATAAAATCTTGTTAAAAGAAATTAATTTGATCATGAAACCAGTGAAAGTAGAGTCTGTTTTGTGATTCGTATGAGATTGGTGAGTAAAGCAAATCACTGTCAGCTGTAAATGTTACTTAAAGTATTCAGGAGGACTGATATCATGCAAAGGCCCATACTGTGTTCTCCTTTCCGCTTAACCATCCCCTTTTCTCATAGAATGCCTCTTGTCCAATCAGATTGCTTGGTTGGAACTAACTGTTGTATAAATGCTCCAAATGTCCATACCAACCATAAATGATCTGCAGACAGTCTTCGGCCGCTGGAATGGGACACAGCTGATCAGTTCTCTGCAGATACAAATACAATACTACTTGTCAGATAATCAATTTGTGAAGCTGTTCTGATACACCAAGCCCTTCTAAAAAACAAAGCAGGTAAAAAAAAAAAACGTAAAAATGACCCACACTTAAAAGAATCACAACAGAGCCATGTGGTTATGTCCCATTTTACACCTTGTTTTATTGGTACATATACTATAAAACAGTATTAAAGGAGCTGGATAACAACAGTATTTTCATTGCTTGAAGTTCAACAATACAATATAAATACAAAAAACACGCACAGAATGGTTTGATGACAAGCTACAGTTCAAATAGAAAACAAAGAGGAGATACAGTAGAAACCAGGAAATCAAATCAGTGAAGTTGCTCTGCAAAAATAATCTGCTTTGTGACAAACTAGAGAGCAGGTTACATGTATCACACAACAGAAACATTCAACTAGTGCAAAAAAGCCTCTAACAAACATAATAATATTAAACTACACATATCTAATATATATAATATATATATTCATTTATTTATATATATATCTTCATATAAATAACCCCTTAATTTGGCATTTTATCATTCATAAAATAACTGTAACTTCCTAACAGACACTGAGTGGCACATTTGAAAGCGATGAAATAAAGTTTAAAAGCACTTTTACCTTTTTATCTCTGCACTAGATATGTGGTGAGAGCTTCATACTGTGTTGTGTGGTGCATTAAGGGCAGACCGGAAAAACACAAACAAAAGAACAAACCAGAAAAAAAACCCAGTGGTTGATAAATGTTTTTCCCCAACATCCAACAGACCCACTCCATCCCCTGAGCCCTTGTATGACGGAACACAATTGGTCAAAAGAGTAAATTCAACTACATACATTCCAGTATATACAATAACGTCCCATCTACCCTTTGTGTGTGTTACAGCAGAATAAAACGAAAACAAAAAGGTTTGAAAAGGCCAAAGACACCTAGAGGTGCTTTTATCCTCTCGTGTTTTGTGTTTTCATATTAAATGATCATTTTAGTCATTTGGGTAGATCTTTGTTGCCATGTAATGTGAACACCTGGCATGATCATTTGTGCACAAATACTTCAGTACCCCGCAATACTTCAAAGTAGTTCTTCATATTTCCTTTTCTGTAGTGGCTGTTTGTTGAGCAAGTCTGTGTACAAAAGTGCTTCTACATGTTTGTAGGCCCATGAGCAGTTACTTTTACAGTGAAACTACCCCCCTGAAAATCAACTTTGTGAATCCTCTGTCAATAAGACTTAAGATTGTAATCCAATCGACCCTCATTTTGTCAGTGGAATTCCTGGATTTGGAAGGTTTTTTTTAAGCTGTCATTATAAACAGAGCAATCCAGGACAGCAGCATGACAAGCAGTAACTTTGTAAACCAAATAACAAATGAACCTGCAGTATTTGCTGACAAGGTTATTACTTTGAGCCCATTTATTCCCACAGGTTTAAGTTCCAGCACAAATATCAATAAGGGAAACACTGAACGGTTCCTTGCATGAAATGGCTTAAAACAGTGAGAAAGTAGTGAGCCTGACATGCTGAATGTCCTGTCCACTGCAGGCGTGTCTGATTAAACTTGAGATTTATTGGACTGATCATTGAAGGTTTGTATTTAACAGTCTAATCTGATCCCACTGACAAAATTGGAAGGCTGGTTCAGCCCTAATTGACATAGAACCTCAGGGACACAGAGGGATATCAGCCCTATGTACAATGTGTGGCAGGCGTGGCACGGGCCTTGTTACAAATCTGGTGTAGTTCTTCAGTGTGATCTCCTCGGACCAAAGGCCAGCAGGAGTGTGATGAGGATTACAAGCTCAGGTTGCAAACACGCAGTCAAGAGGCTATTAAGGGAGCACTTTAACTCAACGTCTTTAATAAATGATTGAGCGGCTTTGACTTCTGCCAAGTTCTTGTTTACTCAATTACAGAAATGAATAAAGCAAAATGAATGATGTGCTGCCAAGAGACGATTATATTGTTACCAGTGTATTACAGTTTGGGCACAACTCTGACAAGCGATCCGAGTGCAAAACTCCTCAATACAAGGACCCACTCTAATCCCATTTGACCTTTTTACATAGTGTAACATGTTCCCTTTGTATTATCAACATCTTTTTAAAAAGGGTTATTATTACTTATTTGTAGGGATGCAACAATTAAATAACCACATCAAAGGCAAAAGTGATGATGTAAGGATCTGACCACGACTTCCCTTTGGTTAATGTATTAATTTAGTGTAGTTTTCTGTATTTTGTACACATCAAACTTGGAGCAAATCACGTTTGTCTTTGCATAGTCTACCTGATTTTAAGCCCCAAAGTGGATTATAAAGCATTGAGATCTGCAGTTTAAAATTTGTGGTGACTTGGCACTAGAAGTTAAAAAATAAATAAATGGTATGCCTCGACATACCAAGTAAAAGGTTTTAAGTCAGCTCAGCCAACACAAAATATTTGGGGTGTTACGTTGTTATTCTTAAAGTTTTTACAGAGGAATAAGTGCTGATAATCAAAGTGAAATTTAGTCTATCGTGATCCCTTCATAGTCTTCTGAATTGGCAGGATAATAAGCCTTTTCATAGGGGGCTCAATAATTGTCGAACAACAAAAACAAGTCAGTGATACATCTTTGTTAAGTTAAACAGCTTTCATTGTAGGAGGCGGTGACATGGGGCACTTTGCCACTCCTCCATACAGTGATTTTCTTTTAAAAATACATTCTAACTGAAATACAGAAATCCTACAGTAGTGCACTGCTACATTTTCCACATTGTTATGATGGCCTATCACATACAAAGTGCTCAGGACAGGACTGGTGTGTAGCATACAGTGTACTCCACAAAGTTACTTGTTTGTGCTGAATTGACATTTAATCTTAAACGTACTCCTCCACCCTCTCCCTGTTTCTGAAGAGACTGTTCAGGTACCGATTTTAAAAAGGAAAAAGAAACAAGTGAAGAGGTGAGAAGCTATCCACTCCCTGTGAGTGAACGTGTTTGTGTGTGTATGTCTACACCAAAAGCTGCATCTTATGTTGCCTGTAAGAAGTAGAGAACATTAAAGGTGATAGAAAATTCAGTTGTACATACAGTGGAGGAGGGGATGCGTCTCACTCTACGATGCTTCGTCTCCGAGGTAACACTCCCTCTTTCAATAAGTGGTTAAACCCTGTCAGACAGTGATAAGCGCCAGTGGCTCAGTGGTATCAAGGTAGTGGGAGGGGTCGGTGCAGAAACTGAGTGGTGAGGTGGGCTACTGCGAGTTTGTGTTTGAATATAAAAACAAAGTACAGACACAATGACGTCGAGAGGCTGGAACATCTCTGGGTTGTGGAGGGCTTTCTGCGGTTGAGTGTTTCTGCACCTGCACCTGTGTATGTAGATGAGTGAGCGTGTGTGCGAGTGTGTGGGTGTGTTTGTGTGCGTGTCTCGATCTCAGGGGCTCACACCACCGTGGCAGGTCTGCGGTCCATCTCCTCCTCCAACTTCGCCATCTGCTGCATGTCCTTGGCCTTTGAGGAGACAAGAATAGTCAGAGGAACACAGATGCAAAAACTGAAGCTCGAACTTGATGCATAGTTGCTACCATTCTGACATGCAAGTTGGTCTTTGGTAATAATAACTAGAAATGCTCCAATTCATAGCTTTCAGTGACGTCACCAGCGCGGCGGACTGGAGGGCAAAAAACGCTTAGGAAAGTTACGGCCACCGTTGAAAACAGTGTAGAACTGCAACACAGGCTTTTAATTTAACATCTCCTATAAACGACACATGTTTAAATCACCTGACAACCATAGCAAAGCCAAGATATTAAGATAAACTTTGAGTTTGGGGCACTTGTGATACTTTAACAACACACGGGAAACTATTTATATCGCTAGAAACGGTCTGTGCCTGTGTTACGGTTAAAAGAGTTACCATGTTAGCTGGTGACTGTCAGCCGAATGAGTCTGGTGGTCGTACGTTACGTGTCCTAACGAAAGCGTATATTTTTTAGCTTTCATTAAAACATATCTCATAAGTAATTATAACATTATGATAATACAAAAACTGAACTGAGAGGCATTTGTTAGGACACTTTCAGTCTGAAAGTCATCAGTTAACATGGTCACTCTTTTAACCGTAACACCAGAACGTCACTTAAGTGATATTGCTGATATTTAGAGAAGAATCCCTCTCCTTAAACCGCTGTAGGATGAAAGTCTACAAACATACAGGCAGCTTTATGTATTGTTGATCGGTCTGGGTCGATAATGCTGCTGTTTGAGAAGTGAAGGGCAAGAAATTCCTCATCATTCAAGCATCGGTGAGTGCTAATTAGCTAACATTAGTATAATTCTGTAGAAGCAAAACTCGGACTCGTCTCCTCGTCGGTTAGTGTATCACATTAAACAACAACTGTATTTCATTTCAATTTTTTAAAAAATAAAACGGATAAAAACACGTAGGGGGCCACTGAGACCAATAACTTCTCAGTAGCGTACAGTGGTAGAGAGCCCTCCAGGTGGGCGGTTCCATAAGAGTGTGACGTCACGTGAAAGCTATGAATACCATTCTACCAGTCTGATGCCTACATGTATATACGGGCCAACACACACCATTAAATACCTGAGCAAAACAAAAGACAGAAAATAACAACTGTTTACCATTGATTTACCCCCTTGCTCCCTATCCCTCTTCCTGCATCTTATCCCATCTCTCCCCCTATCCCTTTCCAAGCCCAGCGCAGTCTAGGCCTGTGAAGGCTGTTTCGTCATGAGCCGGGGATCCGGCCGAAGATTTCTGCCTTTTAGTGCTCATGATGGATAGGCCGGATCTTTGTAATATAGCAATGAGTAAGGTCTTTTACCTGCTTTTTGTAACATAACAATGAGTAAGGTCTTTTTACCTGCTCTTTTGTAATGTTAACAGACAAAGAGTAAGGTATTTTACCTGCTTTTTGTAAAGTGTCTTGAGATAACACTTGTTATGAATTGACGCTATACAAATAAAAATTGATTGATTGATTGATTGATTGATTGATTGATTCAGCCTGTAGGTCTGTCATATGAGTAATATACTCTGGTTTGGCCTGGCCCAGTTGAGTCCATTGGTCAAATACATCAAGAGTGCCTGACAACACTTTTTAATATTTAGAACTGATAAATAATACCAGCACGTTTATCTATGAATAAATAACAAATCTACATGGAGAAGACATTTGGAACACATCAACGCCTGCGTCACTGAGACTTCTAAAGTTCTGTTCTCCACTTGTACTGCTTTGTTGTTGTATGCTATCGCAAAAGATAAATCACCTGAATCAAGTTTTTCTTCACACAACTTGCTGCCAAGTCAACTGGACACAGTAGAGCCATAAATTATCATATATGATCAGTGCATAGTAGTGCATGCACCATGTCTTCATTATTGTTTATTATTATTATTATTATTATTATTATTATTATTAATAATAATATTTGTAGTACTTTTAATATTTTTTTATTGTATTCCTTATTATATACTTTGTCAATATTGTCACATTCATGTTAATAAAGTTTACTGAATTGAATTAAAAATTGCTTACAAGGACTCTGATACTCATTTTAGGCTGTATCAGATTCTGATACTGGTATGAGAACATCTCTTTAAACTTCTGAATGTGATCCTTCTCGCCCCTAAAAGAACAACCTGCTTCAGTCTCAGCTGTGTGTATGTCCTTGCTTTTGTTTGCAGGTAACACAAACTTATGCTCAGCAGGAGAGATGAGTAATTTTGACCACACAATACCTGCAGAGGGACATTGTCACATACTATGAAACCTCATGATATTGAGCTGGAGTGAAAGCACAGTGGGGCAGGTTGGGAGCTAGCTGTTTCTGCTTAGTAATAGCTGGTGAGTCATGGTGATAAATGACTCAAGCTGCTAGTTGGCACTGCTCACACCCTGAGAGCTGCAGAATCTGAAAGTATGGGAATGGGATTTCAAAGACAAATGAATCACTTTCTTTCTGTATTTCAGCGTGTGGCTCGGTGTGTACTATTTCTCTGCTTTACTCAGAGGTGAATCACCTCAAGACTGCTCTTTATAGTAGACGTTTGAATACAGGTTTTAACAGGCTAAGTGCAAAAAGTGATGAACATGACTGAAAGAAAGAAGAGGAAAATGATCACTTAGTGATGCACTGACAGACAGATGGTATCAGAGGTAGTGTTGAATGAGATGGAGATGCCTACCTTGAACCTGTTTGTTTGCATGGTGTGATTTCAAAAGCTGTGCCGGAAAAAGCAAATTATATTAAAAACATGTGACACATGTACAGGTAACACAGGGTGACTTATGGCAAAATAAAATGGACAGATGGAGACCTTCATATATAAATGCAAAATGAAATATTTCTTTCTAGTTTTACGTTTTTGTTGTTAACACTCAGAACATGTTAAGCAGATGTTTCAGTATAAAGAAAGGTTGATTCTTGTTTTCTCGTTTTTCCATTCTTGAATATGAGCTCAGTGTTTAGTATTTGGGACCAGTGTTATTTTTCTGAAGAGTCCATTGTGGCAACAATAATGCCAACTATATGGAACACTTCCTGCAGAACTAGAACTAATTACAGTTTACATCACAAGTGATACAAACTGCAGCCATTATCTCCAGACCACATCAGCCTGGGAGCTGCACTAGTCCCCAGTCTCTAGTTTCATGTACAGTTGAGAAGCCAGTGGAGCGCAAAGGAGCATAAAAGCCGTTGGACAGTTCAGCTGTGGTGATGGAGAATTACAGTCTGCCAATGCCAAAATGGATTCCACTTATCTGGATAAACTTCTAAAATATCTCAAACATAAACTGTGAAGTTCTGACATTTCTGTTATTGAGTGGTGTACCTGCTCGTTGAACTTCTCCAGCTTCTCCACCTGGTCTTTCTGGTTCTTCTCTAGCTGCTCCATCTCCTTCTGATGCTTCATGGCCAGCTGCACACAGAATACATTCTGACCATTCAATAACTGTTCCATAACTTCAATGAGTTTAACCACAAAACTCAAGGCCTGAGTCATAACTCATAATACACTCATAAAGACAGAGTTCACTGAAAGCATTGTTTACTCATGTACTTGAGCTGGTATAGTAGGTTTCTTCTGACTACTTGAAGCAGGTCACACCTACACATTCATACACGTTCAGACCCCGTTGTCTTAGCAGAGGGAGCAATTTGGGGTTCAGTATCTCCTTTGACACTTGGACATGAGGCTGCAGGAGCTCGGGATCAAACCACGACCTTCTGGTGGAGAGACAACTGACTCGACCACTGAGCCACAGCCGTCCCAGATCATAATTTTTTTTTTATTGAGCAGCATCCATATTCAAAGAGTTTTCAAATGGTTGCTTCATTTATAAATCAGGCTGATGTTATTGTAACAAAGAAAACAAGTTTATTTCCTAAATATCAAGATCAAAATGAATGTAGATATTATTTGGAGATCTTTCTTGATATAATGCATTATGCACTTGTATATTTTTTTTACAGTTAAATGTTTTAAATCCTTTAAGTTGAAATAACATACCCTCTTCCTCTCATCCAGGAACTTCTTGGTGTTGCTGCTGTTTAACTCTCGCACTCTCCTAAACAGCAGAGAGAGAGAGAGAGAGAGAGAGAGAGAGAGAACCATGGTGTTAAAAAAAGGCAAAACCTTAAATGATTGACATGTTGATATATTTACTGATATATATGACCCACCTCTCTCTCTCTGCCTTGTTTTTGATGCTCTTGTCCTGGCTGATGGCTTTACTGTTTTCCATGGACATCTTGGCCTGGTTGGCTCTCATCTCTTTGCTCTGCCTAAAGTTGTGGGACAAGAAAAGAAAGGAATCTTGATTACAAAAACCAACCTTTACAAAAGCCGTAATACTTTTAGAAGCAGTTCTGGGAACAGTGAGTGTATATGCATACATCTGAATGTGTGTGTGTGTGTGTGTGTGTGTGTGTGTGTGTGTGTGTGTGTGTGTGTGTGTGTGTGTGTCTCTCACCGTTCATGGATAAGTTTCAGCTGCATCGTCTGCTGCTCCTGGACAGTTGCCAGAAGTTTCTTGAGGTGTTCACACTGCTGTGTGACGTGGCTGTCCTTCATCTCCTGCTCCTCACTGCTGTGACTACTGATCAGCTCTGACCACTCTTTTGTGTGCTGTGCTGTGATGTCCTTTACCTAAACACACACACACACACACACACACACACACACACACACACACACACACACACACACACACACACACACACACACACACACACACACACACACACACACACAAGGTACAGACTTCAGTCAGCTTTCCACAGTTTAAGCACTCATCATCCTAGCGTCAAGCTAAAGTTGTTGTTTAATGGATGCTGGTTTAGTGTTTAGAAGTTCTGTGTTACCTTGACTTTGTGATCAGTGACCAGCGTTTGGATTTTATCCTCAGTCTCCTTCTTCAGCTCTTGGCAGTTGTTTTCTCTGAGGGCAAAATATGAAAATATATTTGTGTCACAATTTGAGATTATAGGTCAAATTTAGTCATGGTGCTTTAATCTGAAAAGAACGAAAGGCACAGGGACGGTTAATGTTTGGTAATGGGAATAATCACGATCCAGTACACAATACAGCGGCATTATGCTGAACATTTTTTTTTTCAACTCACCCTCGTTTCTTAATGGCTTTCTCTAGTAGTTTCTCCAGTGTTGACTTTTCCTTATCATGTGCAGACACCATCTTGTCCACCTGTGTGCAGTGAGATTTCTGCATTGTATTTTGATCCTGTTGAAAAATCCAAAAACATGTATCACTCAAATATGTTTTCACACGGTGAAAGTTCAGTTTGAACCTGGATGAAAAATCAAATCATGTCTATTAACAGATATGACAGTCCTTAAACTGATTTAAGAATTTAAACATGCAGCTGCAATATGTAACTGTGACTATTTTACAACAGTCATATGTTGTAGTTGTGTTGTTGTTGACATGAGTAATGAGCCAGCAGCATCCTTCATTGGATCAACAGATGAGTCTTGCATGGTATTATTCTACATGTGTTATGCAATAGGACTTAACAATGTGATTATTAATCAGCAACTATGACCGAGCGAGCCCCCACCATGTTCTGTGTAAAGCTCTGGTCAAAGGCAAAGCCACTTTTAGCAAGTCTAATTTCTCATGAAACAATAATTATGTGCGTGTTTGGTAAGACAAATTATGTGTTTTTTTGTGTGAGTGTGAATACAGTGATGAAGCAGTGTTCACTGAAAGATGAAAGGTGGAGCTCCCCCCTCCCCTCCTCCTCCCGCTCTGTGTTTGCCCCTTTGAGCTTCAATGACTGTTCAGAATAAGTAGCAGCCTGTTTGCATTAGCATCAGACAAGCTCACCATGAAAACAATCCCTACCTTTGAGTGTTTCTTCTTTAAAGAGTTCAGCTCCTTCTGTTGCTTTTTAATCAGTTTAAGGTACGTCTGCAGAGGGAGAGAAGAGTGTTTATTAACGACAACAGACTGGGGCAGCATGATAGATCCAAACACTTCATGATATGTATATACAACAATAGTTCCATCTGTGCAGTATCTTCTGAGTTATTTTTTTTGATGATAATGGGAGTTAAAGGTGATTACAGTTTTATCTTTTTTTCAAACTGTAAGGTTTTTATTTAATCCTGCTGTATGAAACATTTTCACATTGAATCATAGACAGAGCTGTCACAGAGTTGTTGCAGAGTGAAGTTACCAACCTTCATTTGTTTTAAGTCATCAATGCTGACATTAGGCACAAGTGCATTATCTGAAACGGCAGAGAAAAGTGGATTTTAAAACTGTCTAATTAGCGTTAACATGTCATTTAAAAAAATGTATATGACATAAGTCAGACTTTACCCTTCTTGGATTCTGCTGTGTTATTTTGGGAAGAGTTAGAAGTCTGAGCCGTATCTGAGCTGGCTTGCGGTGTCACACTGGTCTTCACAGTGTCTCCTTTACCCTTTCCCTTCTTGTCGTTCTTAGAGCTTCCACTGGGAACATCTGCAATGTCGTTCTACAAAATGGAAATCATCATTTTAGGTGGAGAGGGACACTGTGGTTATTGTATGAATGCAGTTTTAGCTCAGTATGGAGTGTGTTAATGCTGGTTGTCCACAAGAGTTTCTATCAGTACAAAGAAAAGCATCATTTGTGTGTGTGTGTGTGTGTGTGTGTGTGTGTGTGTGTGTGTGTGTGTGTGTGTGTGTGTGTGTGTGTGTACCGTGTCGATCCCCAGCGCCTTCATCTGGTCTGCTCTCTTTTCTGCTATGGTCAAGAACTTCTTTGGGTCTGATAGTGCATCCACAAATGCTGGAAAAAATGGAATACTTTTAGTGTCTTTAAGTAAAGTCATTTTTAATTTGTAGTGTTGAAAATCCCAATTATGTTCAGTAGTTTTCACAATGTGTAAATGACAGGAATATCAGATAGAGGCATTGAGCAGGTTGAATCTCCTAGGACAGACACATGCAATAAGTTCTGCTTGTATAATATGGACTAATGACAAATTAGCTGGGAGGATTTATTTTTAGAGTCTTGTTTAAAGAGGGTTAACAATACCTCTTTTACTTGTTCAAAATGAAAGGTTGTAAAAAAAACGTGTTACATTTAGTCCTAATAAAGATCTTTCACAAAAGCCATCCCCCTACATGATGAAAAACTGGCTCATTATTCTGGGAAAGGACGTAGGCTCATACTGTGCTATAATCTTGTTTTAAGTAGTCTTGTACTTTTGAAAGAAAGGGTTTTATTTTGAGCTCCTAGTACTGTGCTCAGTGTGCTGCATGTCTGGTAGGGAAGTAAGATCTTAGAGAAGAAAGCTAATGGTTTCAGTAATGGTTTCTCTGTGCAAGCCTCTTGGCTTTATTTAATGACAAATCCAACTGTCCAGCTCATTTGCATGCTGCTGCGTGTTTTAAACAGTCTTGCACTGCAGATACACTGCCATCATCATTTGTACCATGCCATTACCCTGGATGTTCAAACTAACCCGAGGCAGAGAGTAAGAGTGTGTGGAAGAGTTGCATTTTTTTCTCTTCCTTCTTGAGGCTAAGCAACTTTATTATCAGCCAAAGTCAGAAAGTATCAAACAAACCTGTAGTTCTACATAAACACAGAGGAGCACATGTAAAGCAACACACATACATTTGTATAACTATTGCAACGACACATATTTGAGTGTGCGTGTTCCCCTCACCTCCAAATCCGTCTGGCACGTAGGTCTTGAGGATGATTTGGCAGAAGACGGTGGGCAACGACAGAGGTTTGTTACCCTCGTTCCTCAGCGAGATGTGACGGTAGCCAGCCTGCAGGCCGTCCAGAGGCAGGATGCGCTGGCCAATCAGCTTGTTGTTGTCATCGTAAACTGCGATACGCAGTACTGCCAGGTCTGGTAATATCACCTGGGAGGGGAGGGATGAATGGAAATAGGGGTTGGGAGGAGCACAGAATAATGGTTAAAGATGAGATGGAGGAACGGAAAAAAAGGCAGTGTGGGGATAAAAAGTAAGGCAGAAATGAAGGAGTCGGATCAGCCCTGTGCAACCATCTCCTTGACTCATTCTGTTGTGGAAATAGGTAAATTACAAACTATTTTACTTCCATTGCAGTAAACAGTTTCTTTTTTTTTTTTTTAAGCTAAACAAGAAACTGCATCATAGAGGGCAAGGTCAAGGATGACACAGCAGAGGACACTATCAGGGGACAGTCTGAGCGTGATACAGGAAATTCAAGATAGCACCTAACACACAGCATATCTTACTTCTGACAAAGCCATCTCCCTAGCTAGTATGTATACAGGGAGCAGAGCGTATCTTGCATATATATGTGTGTGTGTTAGTGTGTGTGTGTAACTGGTGTCTGTGCATGAGCTTATATGTTCACACCATTGGAAAAAAAACTCTTAACTGGCACTGTGTGTGGAGATAAGTGAACACAGAGAGGAGGATGAATAATTCCTAGACGAGAGGGGAAGGTAAGAGATAAGGCCAGAAAATACTCATTGGAGATGAATGGGTGGAAGCTCCTACTTGTGTACGTGGTCACGTAAACGTAACCTTGCAGATCTGTAAGTATGCTGCTGGTGTGCATTCTCCCGCTCTGACAGTGTTATGTGTGCATGCATGGTAAAGGTGTGTCAGGTTTGGGGGGCGTTTGTGTGTAGATATGAGAAACTGATCTTGCCTGCAGCTCTGCTTGTGATGCCCCTCTTTGATAGTGGTGTGTGTGTGTGTGTGAGCAGGGCAGCACTGCGGCAGACTGTGATTGATGGTGTGTATTAGGAAGCTGGAGTCACAGTCATGGCTGAGAGACTCCTCATTCTGCTGAGAGCAGCACTATTACACACACACACACACTCACACACACACACACACACACGGTTTTCTCTCTCCTTTGCTCTGTATCTCCAATATCTCTCCTCCTTTCTCATTTTTTTCTCTTGCTCTATTACTAATTGTTTCTTTCTCAGTTTCTCCACATTGTTCCTTTGTTCTTGCTGCCCTTTGTTTACCGCTGTTCTGTCTCTCCTAAAACCACAAAAAGGAATTCTAAAAACTGCTTCATGGTCTTGCCCTGCTTTGGTTCATATACATACTGAAATACATTTATAAATATTTTTTTATTAGTCATTACTTTTAGCCAAATGTATCAGTCCTCCCTTTCCTCCTGGAAGTTCTCTGTTCTTTTCCCTCTATAGTTCCTCTCTCTCCTCGAATAACTAGCTTGTATAATTTCTTCCAAACCAAATCATGACTGTCCTCTGTCCCTTTTCTTTTTATCTGACTGTGGAAATATTGTAACTTTCATCACAATGCAGAAAGTATGCATGTGGTTCACTAATTTAACCTCACTGTATCCGTTATCACACCTCACCTCACAACCGCTGTCCACGCTTCTCTCCCTACCTTTCTGAAGACGAAGGGTTCCTCGTTGTATGCTGGGTTCAGGCCGTTGTTCATCACCATGCGTGTACGGAACTCCTTCCTGATGGTGTCCGTCGGCAGCCCGTACATGTCGACCTCAACGTATGTACCGATTTTCTTATCTGACAAGAACTGTCCAGAAAACACCTGAAGAAGAACAGAGGACATAACAATGAGTATTAAAAAAGTGTACAGTGGATCGTGACATTGTAGGTATGAGTTAAAACAAAGAACCATCAGCATTGCCAAGTCACCAATATTAAAGTACAGATGAGTGTGATGAGGCAAAATCTTTGTTTAAAAGTAAATCACGTTTTGTTTAAGTGAAATGCTGACATTTTTTTGTATTTTTGCTTTTAGTGAAATATTACGAGCTTGACAGAAGTGTCGGATAACCTGACCTGTACGCTGCAGGTTGCAGCAATAACACCATCCACCGGTGTCTCTGAGAAAGGGTCAAACATCCTGTCTGACCGCCGCATGAAATCTGGCTTCAGCAGGTACCTGAAACACACACAAACACAGAAAATGAATGGAGAAAATGAATGCAGAGCAAAATCAATCTACCTTTCAAAAACAATATAGGATTTTACTATTTGGGTTGGACATCTAATAAGATCAGCTGCACAACATTTGATTTCAGAGAATTATAGTTTAAACTAAGCTCTTTTATAATCTACTGGGAACAGGAAGGTACTACAGCTTTGTGTGGGGGAGCCCGTGTGTGTGTGTGTGTGTGTGTGTGTGTGTGTGTGTGTGTGTGTGTGTGTGTGTGTGTGTGTGTGTGTGTGTGTGTGTGTGTATCCGTGTGTGTGTGTGTGTTAACCTCGGGCCCGGCAGAGTGACATTAGTAATGATGAGTGTCTTCAAAAGCTCTGATCTTCCCACATATGAGATTTCCAGCATTAGCAGTGAATCTCTGCCCTCAGGGACAGTATTAGAGCCGAGGGACGGAGACAGTGATGGAGAGAGGAGGAGATAGATGACTGCAGAGAACTTTAGAGGCGGGCGAAGAGGAGCTCACATCCCTGAAGCACTCACTGGCTCCCGGGGCAGACAGTAGCTATGGTTGCTGCTGGCAACCACTAATGAGATGTGACATGCTTTAATTGATGAGCTTTAGAAAGGGGCGGAGAATGGAGGGATAGGAAAGAATGAGCGAGTGAGAGAAGTGAAGAGCTGTTCTCACCCGCAGGAGCCGTTGTACTCAAACTTTCCCTGATTCAGCTGCATGGACAGATCTAAGAGAGAGAACGAGAGGAGACACAGAAATCAGCTGCTCACATTACCTACAGAAACATCAAATATTTTTTTTCAATGTTCAATTCATTTCCTATGCTTCATTTTCTGTGGAAGTACTTCTTTGCTTTTTTTCACTTTCCCCTAAGCATTGCACATGCTCTGCTCCCAGCAGGCCATATGGTCCGTCTTCTTTTGCCTCCAGCCGTGGGGTAGCAGCTGTCTGCTGTCAGGCATCACTCACTGTATTGGTGTGTGTGTGTGTGTGTGTGTGTGTGTGTGTGTGTGTGTGTGTTTGTGTGTGGCATTGACACTTTATGAAAAAATGTGTGTCGGTGTGTCATGAAAACAAGAAAAGGGACAAGGGATGCTACAAAATGACATACAAATTGTTGATGCTTAAAGGCTCAGTTCACCAGAAACAAACCAGACCACAGGGTTTGATGTGGACAGTTCTCAAAAGACCAATTTGAAAAACACAAACTTTACAGTTTTTGTTGGAGGTTCCAGGAAAAGATATCTGACAAATTTTGCATGACTAGATTCCACTGTCATTTACAGTGAGATGACAAGATTTGTTGTAATCTGGCTGATGTGACCCATTAAGCCAACATATCATTTCAAAAAGGATCTTTATTTGTAATTAATTTTAGTTCTTCTTAGAATAAGCTTGCGCTTATTTGGAGATGTGCATGTATAAATTGGTCTGGTGATGACACACGTGTCTTCATGATGCTCACAGTATGATGTATGAATGTGAGGTCACAAGTTCATCTTCTGTACTTTTTTGAATTAGAGGGTCGATCAGGTGCTTACATCTGTATATGCTTGTAATATGTTCATGCTGTGTGTGGTGTATGGGTGAGAGGTCAGAGGTCCTGTGTTTGGTGCTGTGGTACCTGGGGTCTGGAAGTTGAGTGAGACCATCTGGCAGCCTGCGTTCCAGAATATCTGAGGCATGTAATTACTGGAGTCCACCCGGCCTCCTTTGGGGTAGATCCGGCTCATCTGACGCTTGTTGTAGCTGCACTGAAGTTCAGGAAAAAAAATGAAAAGAGAGAGGGGGAGCATCTGTGTTCCAGCACATGTGTGAGTATGCATTTGAGCGCTTGTGTGTATATGTGTGGTAAATAGACTGCAGCACTATTTTTAGTGTGAACAGCCTGGGTCAAGTAGTTCCATTGGGGGGGGGGGGGGGGAGAGAGAGAGAGTCAAAGTGTGCGTGTGTCAGGCCAAGTTACACAGTCCAAAGGCACAACGGCCTCAAGAGGCCTCATGTTATTTCCGACAGCGGCGCTGCAACAAATATGTCTGAAAAACATCAGCTCTGACCCACCATCAGCTCTTATTGAGGTGACCTCAATCTATTAAGTTAAAAGTCAGACTTTATCAGACAGCTCCACCCAGGTGAGGAACACGGCTTTCTGTTTCCTGTTTTTAATTAATAGCTATAATCTTTAGTTTCAAGATCACAACGTATCAGAGGTCAATGTTACAATGTGAAAGACGTTCCTCGTAGTGATGAACCTACAGAGAAATATCACCTGACTCAGCAACTCCACTCGTCTTTAAGTCTTAAGTGTCAGTTTGTTGTTCAGCTTCTGGCCTTCATCTATATATTTACTGTTTTGGTTCACTATTATTGCACCTCTAAATGTCGTTTTGGATGCAACAGGCATCTGTTTTTGACAGATGGCAACCTTATTTGCAGAAACTAGTATCAGGACACAGTTTGCAAACAGCAAATGATCATAGAATAGTAGTAGCTGTTGAAAAGCCAAATATTCCCCCCCAGGTTTAGGCGAGACAAAAAAGAGCTAAAATAGAATAAATATTGGGTTTGAAATTGCTGTGATGACAGAACATGAAACTCAAATGACTGATAATGATGCTACATTACAGCTGAAAATGTTATTCAACAGTTTCTCAAACTTATACTGTGATATTTCAGTGTTGTGAACTCAATTTGTTTCCTCTGCCCCCAAGTGCAGGTTTGAAGTTTCTGGTAGTGTGGAACAGTCAACTTAATCATCCTTTAATACTTAAAGAGATTTTCTTTGGCACATAGTTGTTAATAGGTACATACTATACTATAAAAAGGCCTTTCATGACATGGTGAGAAAAATGCAGCACAGCTGTGACTGTGAGCTCAAAAGATACTTGACAAACTCTATGGCATTGGTCTTCAGGTATCCCAGACCAACAGACTCGTTAAAAGATGACATGTTATGGTGGATGTTCTTTTCTGAAAGACAGGGAAGAGAGAAGAAAAGAGTTTATGACATTGTGTTTTAATCCAGAGCCACACGTGTGACTGAAATATTCATTGAACATCCTTCGTATGGATTTGTATTCTTTGTATTAATGAACAATAATCTTTCAGGATCACAGTCAAAACAAATGTGAAATTGACAAAACAGTAAGACCCAGAGAAGCTTACCCTCTGCCATGTCGAAGCTCTGAAACTTGATGGGTTGTGCGTAGTTGACCATGGCTGACAGATATGGGTGGATGTTTGTGGTGGCTCCAACATACGTGTACTGAGCTATCAGAGCCTCCTCAACGTTCTCCTCTTCTCCCCCTTCCCCACCCTGCACAGGACAGGTACAATCATACATTCTTAGGACACTTCAATGTATCTGATTCATAAACCAAACATCATGCTTTTCCCAAGATGTAATTCGTTGGATGTAAAGGGAAAAAAATGTCGTTGCAGTCTCGCCCTTGCCTTTTTGTTATTTTCTTTGTCAGATGCTTCTGAGATATCTGTGGCATCTGTTGCTTCTGTGGCTTCTGATATCTCTGTCACATCATCATCTGGCACCTGGAAACAGACAGAAAAAACACACAAAGACCTGAATTTAAACGTTGCCTCTTGGCATCAATGTCAGCACTTTCATTCTTCCATGATAAAAATCATGATAAAAATCATTGATCAAAAAAGGATCCTATAATATAAAACAACAAAAAAATTAAGAAGAGAATATTCAAGGTGAAAAGGAACAGTGTTGTAACAATTTCAAGTAAAGACACACACACCTTCTTGATACTGTTGGTGCGTTCTTCTTTCCCGGTGCTGACAGCGTTACTTTGAGAAACGCTGTTGGCCTCTTTCTCACTGGGTGCCTCTGATTGGATGCTGGGAGCCTCTGAATTCAGATCCTTATCCTCAGCCTCCTTTTCTCCTACACAAACAACCACAAAAACAGATTAAGTCCAGAGCACTGATTTTCCATATCCAGGAAAATGTTTTCATTGATGCGTCGGCTACAAAGTAATCTCACCTAACTGAGCACCAATACACCATTTTGAAAGGGTCTTTTCTTTAAACATTGTTATCATAATGACATTAAATGAAATGTAATTAGAAAGCTTATTTGTGTCATGTTCTGTACATGTCATCATTAAACCCCTACTCCTTCACTACTCTCTAATTTCAAGGAGTTCTAAAGTTTGAACAGTTTGAATATTAAACCAGTGATCATCAACTGGTGGCCTGCGGGCCACATCAGGCCCCCAAAGCTTCCCATACGACCCCCAGAATACAAATAATTGTGGGTGATTAAATAATAAACATAAAAATAAAACAACAAGGCTGAAATACTTGCATTAGGTTTATGTGAGAAATCATATTCCCCACCGACACCAACTTCTGAGCATCGGGCTTAACAGCTGTCAGGCTTATGTGCAAGAATATTATAAAGCCCGGCCACCACAGTGTCTGTCAAGAAAAAAGATGGCCTTTGTACAAATGTAGTTGATGACCCTGCATTAAACTGACCATTCTCTGTGTCCTCTTGAATCTCCTCTCCCATGATGATGGCTGTAGTGTTGGTCTCTCCTGCCTCCATGTGTTTCTTAAAAGCCTCCAGCTGTTCTGTATGACACAGACACGCACATGACTTGTTAAAAAACATAAATCATAAAAGGACAGCAATGTATCAGGTCATCAGTGTGAGTTGTGTACTTACTCTGTTCAACCTCAGGTTTTAAGCGTTTGTTTTTGATGAGGATTTTACGTTTGAGGTCATTTGGAGAGGGTAAAGGGCGCCCAGGCTCAATCTGCCCAAAGGAGAGAAAAATCACAAGTTCAAATATAAATGACAATCATCTAAACGCAAACAACTCTGAAAGACCTTGTGAAAGACCTTGTGAGAGTCCTTACCGGGAAGTTTTCCAGAGGCTGTTTGAGGAGGAGATCCCCAAAGATCTCCTCACAATACTTGGCCATCTTGTACTGCTGTGGTTTACTGGTGAGACAAACACAAAAACAGAGATTTATATTTTTCAGGCCATTATTCTTTAATATCTGTAAAGAATAATGACAATTGCAAAATCACAACGCATCACTCCTTTGCTAATAACTAGTTGTATACAGACCTGCAATGGTTTTCAAAAGACAAAATAACAGGGTAATCTGAAGTGACAAATGCGGTCTCCTTGATAGCTTGAATAACATCCTGTTGGGGCAGAGAAGAAGAAAGAAACAAAAGATAAAGATGAAGCATGAAAGCAAGAAAAAGAAAAAGAACGGTAATGAACTAGGAACACACCAAGACTTGTGCATTTCATACTCTCAACAGCAGAGGGCAGTGATACTTCATTCAATCATATTGAACCAAAGCTGGAAGAAAGCAGTCTTCCTCTGTTGTGTTTGTGTATTTACCTTGAACAGGATGTCTGTGCACATGGCCTTGCCGTGAGTGATGATGGGCTCCTGGTCCTCTCCTTTTCCATCCCAGCAGTCCAACTCCACACATCTGACAGGATGGAAAAACACACATAAACCTTGTTTTACTTTTATTTAAAAAATGTTTCACCAGGAAAAAAAACTCACTGAGATTAAGAATCTCCTTTACAAGAGTGTCCTGTCCATGCAGCACATTTTAACAAAGCAGATTCTGCACATGCAGACACCTGCTGATGATGTACCCTCATGTATTGTCTGTGTAGAATAAGATCAGCACTATGTTGGGTGTTAATGTGTCTGCCTTCACGAGTATCCACCAGTCCATGACACACTGTTGTTTGTACCTGGATCCAGATAGCAGAACCTGGCGATACATCTCCACTGAGGACTTTCCTCCAAATTGTCGCCCTGTCAGGTACGTGTTGTGGGAGGAACTGATGAAGTAGTGGGCAAGCGGCTGGTCCATTTCTTGGTACAGCTCCAAACGGTCCAAGAAAACTGGAGCATTTTCATCTGACATCAGGTATCTGCAGAAACCGTCACTGGACATGCAGCCTGGAGTAGACAGAACGAGGAGTGAAAGTAAGGCCGAGGGTTTAAGAGTAAAGTAGCTGAATGACTGCTTATGACTGAAGGCAGTAGTGTAATCACTAGAATTAGAACTTGTAATCATGAATTCAATTCAAATTTTAAAGAAAGGTTGCCGATATTGATCTAAGTATGCTAGATTTATTACAGAGTAGCACTACCACTTCCTGCAGCTATTGTAATGATCAGAGGAAATAAAGGCATGCTGAAAATAAATTGTCACTGGTGTGCAACTGTGCCGGTGATTTTATATGACACTGTAGTTTTAAACGTTCACAGGCAGATGGCAGCGCAGTCTAAAGTAACTCCCAGCCTCTCGTTTCCCTCCACATCTTTTACCTTTCTTCTTGAGCTCTTCATCTCTCTCGTATTTCTCAATGATCTGCATCACCCTCTTGGGGTCGTAGAATGGGAACAGGATCTCATTTAACCGGGGGTCACGCTGGTTCTGAGGGGCAACACATGCACACACAAGTTGATACAGGAACATATCGTCGAATTACTTTCTAACAAATGAGATGCAACAAATTGGCTTGAATCGACACAAAGGACAGGGGGTCGGCTTAATGCAACAAGGGACAAGGTGCCAAAGGTGCTCAATTCAAAAACTGTTTTTTCCTTATTTGAATTGCTTTCAAGGATATCAATGCAGTACATTGAAAAACTACCTCATTAAAAGCAGAATGTATCAAACTAAATAATTCTAAGATGTTGACAAGAAACTGAGAGCCACACTAACAGGTGCAATGATTACGTGTTTGCTTAAAAGCAAAGAGGTTGTATGTGTTGGAGAGGTTCAAGGCAGTTCTACTTAATCAAAACAGCATCAAAACATTGTTACAATGTGGCTGCCCACTCATGCAGCCAGGTGGGAATTCATCTAACCAAAGCTTTGGCTCCACTGGCTGGTCTTGACCGTGATGAGGCAGCACACATGCAGTGGGAGACTAAGCAGGTATTCAGCCACACAGAGGAGCACAGCCACAGAAAACAGACGCAGACAGCAGGAAGCAACAGGATAAAAAGCCTCTACCCTCCCATTGCCATGGCAACACCAATCAGACACAGGGAGGCAAGCCGGGGAATAAGACGAGGGTGGGAATGCAGGATTGGGGAGTTGGTTGAAATTGCCCTCACAGGCTGGCTGGAAGTTAGTAGTTCTCATTTATTGAAGGTTCATGAGAAGTGGCTGACGTCCAGTTCAGCTAGAAGGCAACTTCTAACCAGAGCAGGAGGAGGGAGTGGGCGTAAGGCAGAGGAGTCGCAGAGAGGGCAGGGGCAAGCAAAATACACAGAGAAGTTAATGAATGATAAAGAGCTTACTTCATTCAGAAAGCTGACTAACTGGTCTACAGTTAAATAATCAGTTTTGTTCCCATTGCTGCAAAGGAATTAATTAGAAAACAAAAAGTTATGCTTCTTTAAATAAACATCCTCACAGTCATTCATTCTGTTAAAATTAGAAAGCAGTCTTCAAAAGGGCATCAGACTTGAACGTTACACTTTTAGTAATAATATGTTAATCTTGATTTTCATATCATGTTTTATTGTCAAAGCAGGTTAGGCTGTTCAGACATTAGTTAGTGCAGCAGGCGCAGAAATATTTGTCCAGATTATTTCAACATGATGCAGTAGCTCAAACTGAGGGAAGATTTTAAAGTGAATATCATTGCTTTATTGAGGTGCAAGGTAAAATGGTTATACTAAAATGCAAGGGATCTACTGCTAAGTTAATTATTTGGAGGATTTCTTTTGCCCTAACTTTGAGTTACTACAATATCGGTACAAGTAACATTGGCAAATAAGAAGGAAGCGTGTTAAAAAAAGGAATCTCACATCTTCTTGAAGAGTTCCTCCATGTCTGTACGAGGGCAGATCTTTTGTGTGAGCATGTAGAACATGTCAAAGGGGAAATCTTCTGGTTCGATCTCATCATTCTGTGGAAGATAAACAAGCCCATGTTCATTAACACAAGGGCAATACAACTATAGATTAATGTGACATGCATGCTCTATCTGACTGCAACAGTCTAAAATCAACTTTGCTTGACCTTTCCACTCGGGAGGCCAAGATCCTTCAGAGCCTGAAAAATCCCCTTCTCTGTCTTTCCTGATGCAAATGTTCGAGTAATGCTGTAAAAGGAAGACAAATATGTTGGCACATTGGTTGTTTAAGGGCCATCAATTGGCAACAATCTTGAGTTATGACATTTTTCACAATAAAAGCGTTCAGTATATTGTGCTATATTGAAAAAAAGCAAATTACCTATATCAGTAGAGAAATCATCTTTAATATTCCATAACTCAATATATCTATCTATCTAATATGCCTTTAAATGTATTCTTACCCTCTTACAGGAATCTTGCCATTCACATTAGTCAGGAAGCACATTCTCATCCAACTAAATGAGAGGAGGAAATGAAAACACAGAGAGCGGCAAAGATTAGAAAAAGGGTCGATTTTTTACAAGAATTTATGACATGCATTTGAGAGAAAACTTAAAGTATTACTTCACTTTTCCAGGCACAGAATCTAAATAATTAAGGTTAACTTGGAGAGTTCTATTAACTGCACTCACTGTTTCTTCAGGCAGGTCATTGGACAGACGTTGTTGGCCTTGAAGTTGTGTATCACTGACCTCAGACCCTCTATCCATTTCTGCCAAAAAACAAGAACAAGGATTGAATGGGCACTCTGCCAACACATTGACTACAGACCACACAAACACTGCATCCAAGAGGGTAAGATTGTGTATAGAAATGGGTGTCTTCTGGGAAATTAACACAAGTAAATGGACTGTCTATTTTATACACACAAACAAACACACCAGTGGGGAAATGGCTAGAGAGCAACACCCCCCCCCCCACCACACACACACACACACACACACATGAAAACATACATTCAATGATGAACTCCGAGGGCTGTAGCAAGGCTACAAACAGTGACATTAAACAAACAGTCAGAGAGAAGACCTTGTCGCTCTACGTGAACACACTGATCTCTTCATCAACAAAAACATAATTGAGGATAACAATCTAAACATTTTTGACCCTTCTTACTTTCCATCTCTGTATATGACTTTCTCCTATGTAGCAATTGTTCTTCTGACATAAGTATTAAAACATTAACTAGATAACACGAGCAGCAGGGGATGTCTGTTTGGACATGTGGCGACCAGGAAGAACAGGAACATATGTGTGTGTGTGTTTGTGACTGTGTGTCGGCTGATGTAAATAACCCTGTCATCTCCCGAGGTCTGCTACTTAGGGCCACTTGCATGCTGTGAGGTGCTGATGGTGTCATGGTGTGTTTGAATGTGTATGTGTGTCTGTGTCTGTCTGTGTGTGTGTGTGTGTGTGTGTGTGTGTGTGTGTGTGATAGAGAGAATGAGGGGACAGAATAAATGCGTTTTAAGTTGTGTATGTGTACCTGAATCTATGTGTCTGTTTGGGCTCTGTGTTGAAAGGCTGTTGTATGATATCATTGGCAGCCCTGTGGCAGTGAACTCCCTGGAGTGCCAACATCATTTAAAACAGCCAGCACCACAAAAACATCCCTTCATGGGAAACACATACACACTAACACTGGTGCCAAGAAAAATCATTTTCAGTTCAATCTGGTTTGAAACTGGTTATGTTTTTGAAATGAAGACATTTTTTCTTCAGATCCAACACTGAATGCATTACATAACCAATTCATTCCTCAAGGCTAGCATTGTGCTTGATTTGTATTATCATAGCTGTGTGTTTTTTTCACTTCCAGAAGGAGCTTTTACTTTTCACAGCACTTCAATCACCTTCACAGCCAAACTATTGTCCATGACATATTGTGTAGAAGGTAAAAAAGATGGTGGGGAAATCTCCGGTAAGGGATGTGATTATGTAAGACCCCATTAAACTCAGTGGATCTATTGGTTACTCTTTTTGTGTATTGAATCACATTGTGTGAGATGATATTGTCATGTGGTGAGTTAGCGGCGTGCAATAATCATATTCTTCTGCAATAAATGGAAAAAAACAAATATTAAAAACAATATTGGACAAATCCTGTGAAGGACTAGGTAAATCGAGAGGTATCTCAATGTATTAATCCCGGACTGACAAGAGTCTGATAAAGAATCACTCACTATAAACTGTCAAATTATTCCATGACATTTAATAACTGTTAAGTCTTTGTGCAGCACTGGACCTGTCGCTATAAAAATCTATCTCACTTTGACTGTTTTCTACTCCTCCTCCCAGGTTATGTTTGTTTTGCAATAATATCAAAATATAAGGCCAGTAATATTCCAAACTATTAAAAGCACGTCAATGAGCCACATTATTGAACTTGATCCTTCTATTATCATGAGCAGCGGCATTTCAGACTATTTTGAGTCAATCCCACACACAACATCCTGCTGCAGTAAATGCTTACTATTGTGTGAAATGTGTATTAATCTCAGCTATAAATAGTCCCAAACAAGTGAGTAGTGTTTTAGAAAATGTGCAGTGCCCAGCTGTTTAAGGAAAACACTTTTCCTTGTAAAATGAAGCCCATTTTTGTGACTAATTATTCAAGATTAATATCTCTATCAGGAACAAATAGGCTTTGTGCCACAGAGGAAACCAAAAAGTTATATTATTTGTTTCTGTCTTTTTATAAGAATTGTTGAAATTAAATTAAATAAAACCCCAACCTTCTGCTTTGAAGAAGAAACCCCAACATAGGCTTTAATTCTCTTAATGTAGCATTTTCATCATGCCACCAATGACTCTGTGAAATTTGTTATTGTTTCTTAGTATGTTCAGCCTTTAAATATGGATCAATTCATCATTTCATCTGCAGATACGTTTGTGTATTGTGGACTATGGATGGTTAGCACAATGTTTGTATGTATGCCAGCAGGGGTCATCATTAATAAAGTCTGCATGTTAAAGAAGAAAGAAGGCAGTGGAGGTGCCATCTATTTGTGCCTTAAAAAATATAGATAGAAAGAAACTGATTGAGAAGGTGATAAAGATGGAGAGGTTTCTTTACTCCATAAAGCAGTCAGATTTGCCCAAGAGCTTTTTCCTTAATGAGCGGGAAGAGAAACAAAAAGACAAAAGAGAGAGAGAGACAGAGCGAGAGAGATACAAAACGAAAGACAAAAATGATTAGAAAATAACTATAAAAACACGGGAGAAAGCAAATGGGTGAGACAGAGAAAAATGACTCATTCCAAATGTGTCTATTTATCAGAGTGAACCAAGGCCAGATCTGCTGTGTGTGGGAGGCGGCATATGAACCATTCACCTGGCAATTTGCTTCGTCTGTGAATCAAATATCTGCTGTGTTCTATTAGCCTTTATGTCATGTGGAAATGTTGAATGAACAAAGGATGTACTACAGATGCTCAGAAGACTTTCTGGTTTCTGGACCACATATGTTTCCTAACCGTCATGGATATGAGTCAAAATGCCATCTGTAAAAAGTGTCTTGATTAGGGGGATTATGGGAAGCCAGCAGGCAGCTTCTGCAACCTTGCTTTGAGCGCATGCAGAGAGCATTGATAAGACAACAAAGGATGCTAGTATATAAAGATATACAATACTGATTTAAAATATGAATAAAACTGAAACAACACTTTCTAGGACTGCACGTCAACAGTATTATTGTGACATTTCACATCCTCAGTCATAATTATTAAAGTGGAGATCTGTAAAAACAACAATGCATGCGTGTTTTTACCCTTGCTGTGTCTGGATTCTCTGCGACCATGAACATGAAGCTGAGGTTGACCAGGTCTGTGCCGCTGCAGATGCAGATGATGCAGCCCTCCAAGTCTGCCTCGGTTTTTCCAATGGTCTCAAATGACGACAAGATCTTGGGGTCCTGCAAAATAAAAGGAAGCGAGACAGCTTAAAAGGGACCCTGTCGGAAAGACATAAAGATATGTAAACAGACACAGGCAGAGGAACATCTTCGGTAAGAAACTCGGAGAAAAGAGAAAACATATACTAGGTAGTCGTTCACATTATTGTACATTCTAAACATGTTCGATAGTCTGAGACATTGGCCCTCACTTATCAATCTGGTGTAGAAACCAATGCAGATGTGCACTTCTCATCTGATTAGCCTACTTTCCAAACATAAGAATTTAACTTAAGAAGATCCTGATTCCGTCTTACAGCCCCCGGATTTCTTTATTCGTTATTATATCACATGAAGTGGCATATCAGCGTATTTATTATTTAAATCTCCAGACATACGGATTAGTTATGATCTAATGTTGATGTTCTGTATTCTTAAATATTTCATATTTCAGAGGCTAAAAGTTGTATTTAGTATCCTCTGGAGGTTTTTCTGTCCTTTTAAGTTAACTGTTTTTAGTTTTTCTGTTTTAATTTGTCTCAGTATTTTCTGCAGCGATATTCCTGTCCGCATGAACGTTTAGCATGTAATTACCGAAAGCAGCCTCTCTAATCTTTAATCTGTAAAGTAAATTGATTAAACAAAAATCACTCATAAAATATAAAACAACTAAATAAATCACCCAACAGCTTGCGCTGCTCAACATTATTTAAATAGCAATGTAGCCTACAGAGATCGTTTGAGGTGGAGCGTAATATAAAATACATTTTAGATATCTTATCTAACAGTAAATCTGTGAACCTCTATCTATCCGTCTTAACAAGCACTTTTATAGTGTGATCTAATTATTCTCCGACGCAGACAGATTCGCTGCACCGCAAGTGCACACTGAGTTGAAAACATGCGTACACGAGCTGAGACCTGGCGTGGGATTTGAGCGTACCCTCCACTCACGTCCAAATTGATAAGTGCCGAACTTTGCGTGGAAATGACCGTACACCCATTTTTCTGCCGTACGTACGTTTGATAAGTGAGGGCCATTGAGAGTAAGAAGAAGAAATGTAAAAATAATAATCCAAAGGGAAGTGTTCATTTCTTGCTCTTGTATTTCTGACAGTTAATAGTCTCTGACAAGACAAGAAACCCCACCATGGATGATATTTGTGTAAAGTTTATGCATAAAGGATTAAAACTTTTTGTCAATTTAGGAGGCATACAAGTAAAATCTACATGGAGGAACAAATTGAATATCACTTCAAATAGCTCAGAGAGTTCGACTGATTACAGGTTTAAATGTGTGAAACAGGACTTTAAACATCTCTTTATTAGAGCAGGATTGAGAGGGTTAGCAGAAATGACTGTGACTGAGATATTACACTGTGATGAAAACATCAGTGGATAATGTGATATAAACGGGTCAGCTCTATTAGCTAAATAACTTTCTTTACAGAAACAATACTTTGCTTTTGGGGTATGATAAATGAAGGTAATGCAGACCAGCTTTATTTGTAAAAGCCAGCAGGGGGGACTCACCAGGTTGTAAAAAAGTCTGAAAACCTTTCAGAAACGACCCTACCTCTCAGTTGATTTGGTACCTCTGTAGACAATTTCCTGAGTTTATAATGTGTTTAATAATACAATTACAAGTTAACTATCATTATTTTTTAGCATTTAATCAAACATGGTCTGAAAAAGAAAAGTAACATGAAATAGGGTATGCTTTAGGGTGGGCTAACGTGTCTTTCAAAGTCATAAACAGATAAATGTTGTGTTCATAATAGGATTGCACTTAAAGACATTTTATCAGATGCTCATTTTTTGTCAGGATATTTTGTAAAGCCAAAATTAGCATTAGAATAAATATCACAGATACTTTTTCTTAGGGATGGACATTGCTAACAAAGCTAGAGCTAGCATTAGCTAATCATTTCGGGTTTGTCCCCACCGCTTTGCAGGTTTACCCTTCTATCTAATGATGGGTAAAAATAAAGGACAGCAACATTAACCTCTTTTATTACGGTAAGTCTTTGGGACCCTATAATTGGTAATTATTAATAACATGAATTATGGCTTATTGCTTTTTTCCCCCTACTTTCCTCCAGAAATCACTTACATCATCTCATTTGACAAAAAAACAGAAAACCTACATTTCTCACTTCTATAATTTCTAAAATGTCATAAAACAATAAACACAACAAAAATCACTTCGGCTTTCTAAGACACAACATAGTAGAAATGTGACATTTACATCACCCTGATTATATTCTACAATCATCATTACAGTTCAATCCCCTGTTCAATCAGTGAAGAAAACAAAAAAACAGCAGTCAGTCTGCCACCATCATCATCACCACACAAGACAGTAAAGTACTTTTGTTGTACGATTGAATTAACGGCAACAGGCAACAGGCTCTCCCGTCTCAATGCCTCAGCCAGCAACCATCCAATACAATTCATCTCTCCCAGCTCATTGGATTACGTGAAACAGCTCTGGGGGCTTGTGTAACCGAGTTAGCCTCTGAGGAGAAGCCCTGCTATCAGTTCCTCTTAGTTTGCTACTTACAGGACAGCCAAGAGCCTTTGAACAAACAGGAGGAGCTGCTATCAGGCTGCAGTATCTGTGTACGTGCCCTTACACATGTACATACACACACGTCTGCACCGTGCAAACAGACCACCTCCTGCTGTCAACACTGCATACACAACATGGTAATCTCTGTGTGCTCACTGCTCTGTGTACACAAGTGTCTCCTGTCAGCCTGCTGACTTCAACTGGCTTGACTGGTTTGCATCCCAATTAGAGGCAGGCATTCCCAAAGAGCATTTGTTTTTGCATTTATTTGCATGTTGCAAAATACTACAATATCACTGTCACTGTCAATATTTAATATTTCATTTGCAAGGAACAACACCAGATTTGCATTTGTGTCTGGCGTGGTATCAGCTAAAAAATAACTGATTGGTTGAAAGCTGCGGTGAAAAAATATAGTAATGTAGCAAGTTAATTAAATATATCAGGTTTATGTTCTTCTAGTTCCTTGTGAGTTGGTAAAGAGAAGCCCCGCAGTGAGAGTCCCAGAACAGTCAGTCAATAGAAGAAGTCACATTGCCTTGGCTCGGTAAAGCATAACTTAAGTGTCTGAATGTGGAAGTGAGCCACTGAATGATGGGAGAGATGGGTTGGTGAGTGTGAATATTGTGAGGACATTGTGTTTCCCTGAGGTCTCACCTTTGGGACAGCACCAACTCGAATGCTGTTGATGAGGGAACACTCGAGAACCTGGCCTTCCTGTAAAAACCATAAGGAGAAAAGATTTATTTCCCAACAAGAGATAGAAAAGAAGGTGTGGAGGAAATGACCACAGGTGGAGTGAGAGATGGAGGAAGACATTATGAAACAGTAGAGTCACAGCGAATGATTCTGCGATCATTTCTGTGATTTCAGTTTTTTACATTAGACATTATGATAAACTATCATTGACTATCTATTTCTCATAATAAAGTTACAAGTCATATACACATCCTCTGTGTATTGATGTCAGATCAGCTGTTCAATTGGTTCAATGAAGGAGTTTGATTCACAATGTGACAGTCTGCAGTGTCCTACGACATCGCACGAGATAAGCAGAGACAACAACAACAAAGATAAGACAACTTATTCTTTCTCAGACAGATATGTTTCTGTAAAAAGCAGAGTGTGAGGTTTTACCTTCCCCTCACTCTTCCAGGTGATGAAGAAGCCAAACTCGTCTACTCTCATCTGACAGTTGGGCTCAAACATGAACGGGTCCTGTAGAGGAGGGAAAAAAGTTTTATATGAGAGCAGGCTTCATCATTCTTTTCATTCACAGGTTCTTTTGACACGGAGAGACATTAAACAGCCTCCCTGTTAAACACACACAGAGCTCACTCAATGTACTCAGTGACGCATGAACAGGAATATACTAACAGCAGCCAGCTTTTTAGGGCTGTGCATCTTCACTGGTCTCACACTCGATCCAATTACCATGTTCCTGTCACTAATTTGATTTGATTCAATTCAATATCACGATTCATCACATATCGCGATGCATTGTAGAAACGATTAATTTAAACACCGCTATAGCTTATCTTAACTAAAAATATATAATATATATACAATATATAATTCACTCATCTGCTCAAAGTTCTATTTGTCCTGATAAATGACTGTGTCAAAGTGTTAGTGTGTTATTGTTTTAAGGGGAAGAGCCTGACACACTCACACTCACACACATCATTTATTATTAATTAAAGATATTGCCTCCTGTGTGAATAGGACTGAGACAACAAGCTATTTGGTTCTATCATGTGTAATCTTAAACCGTCATTAAAAGCAATTAAATAATCCTATTTCCATTTAGGATACATTGAGACTTCTGTAAGCGCCGTTAAAAGCTTGACTTGCTTTCATCTGAATCAAACCTGACAGAGGCTTCAGCTGCACATCGAGAAAGAGGACTCTGTGAAAGAATGGTCCCAAATGAGTCCTGACTGTTAAAAACGTACAGCAGGCTCGTATTACACTTACAGACGGCTTGTTCTTGTAAAGCTAAAAGGTTTATGGGAACACTCAGCCTTTCCACACACAAGGGAACAATTAGCTGAAGATCCAACCATCTATGGATGGTTTTGATGGTTTGAATATGGTGGTCCTCTCCCCTACTCAACATGTTGGCATTTATGGTCAAGTGTAGCTCAGCATGTGTGTGGATATGTGTCTGTTGATCCCTCTCTTTTCTTGTCCTGTCCATAACAATGAGCTTTTAAACTTGTAAAAAAAACAACAACAAAATAACAGATAGTGTTTACAAATATGAAATAAAGACCCTTCAGAGAGCATAAAGTAAATGTGATTTTGTCTAACAAGCATGCATTTAAGGCGAATATCGATTTGAGTAACCATGTCAGCAGGCCTCTATATTAAAGGGATAGATACTCCTTTAAGGCATCTGCTGTAGCTAAGATAATTCATATTGACAAGTACCTCATACAACCCCACCTCAAAAATACTGAACTAACGATTCCTTTAGGTTGAGTCAAGTAACATGTGTTGCACGTCATGTCACTGACACTTCAGACCATCTCGTGTTTATCAGTAAATGACAGAGAGAACTCAATTTTATGTATTTTTTAATTATCTTCTTTTCTTATCTTGTTCTCATTAACTTTATGTCATATTTTTTGTTACTGGTGCTTTAGCTAAATGTCTTATCCTGTTTCCTATTTTCCATGTCCTTTTAATGTTTGTCACATTTAATTTGTTTCTTTCTTACATATGTATGAAGAGGAGTGCAGAACCCACACACTGCATGTATAATAGGCTCATATTTCCCTTACAGTCAACTTAAATATATATCTTGTAAATTACAGATGCATTCGCAAGGTGACTCTTTCTAAATAACTCAGTCGATATCACCACACCAAAGTTGTGAACTGATTTTGGGTCCTGACGGGATATATATATTTTTTTACCCATTGTATTTTATACCTAATTTGGAATCGCACAGTCACAAATAATTACACTGTCATCAATGGTAAGACAACTTCCAGTTTTCCATCTTTTTAGTTTATATATATATAAAACAAAACAATAACAATATTTTTTGTGCATGTGTATAACCACAGGTGTTTAAAACTTAAATATGGATCAAATGGAAAGAAGGTTGTCTCAGATTTATATGTAATTTCCACTTTGTTAACAATTCTTCAAATGTGGTTTTCTGAAGCCTCAAAGAGAGGGCGATCTGTTTAATTATAAGGATTTAATTAAAATATCTTCTTAACACCAAAACGCGTAATGACAAACCCAGAACAAACGGTAGTTATTAGCGTCCAGGACAGCAGTAAAAAAAAAATTATTCTCTTTAAATAAGTGTTGGCTTGTTTTTTGGTGTTTCACAAGCCTGACCTGTTTTTCTCTCTACCCTCATCAACAGTCTGTCAATAAGAGACTGTTTAGTCCCCATGGAAACAAACTATCCGCTAGATCTCAGTGATTGATTTCTAATCAGTGAGACGGCTTCCCCCTTCGACATACACACACACGCATATATACACACACGCATATATACACACACACACACACACACACACACACACACACACACACACACACACACACACACACACACACACACACACACACACACACACACACACACACACACACACACAGGAAGTCTTTTGGCTGTTAACTTGACTGATCACTGAGGGCCTCATGCCGTATTGACCTCTGACCTACTTGCCTTTGGAAATGTCACATAGGTGACAAACATCTGAAATATCTCTCATTAGAACAGAAACTGATGCATTATTGGTCATCTATAGAGCATATTAAGGTTCTTCCGCTGTGCTCCACATATGTTGGGCTAAACAGAAGAGGTAAAGAAGTCACATGACACTTAGGGTCAGCCAAAAATTAAGAAAAAGTAAAAACAAAATAAGAATGCATGAGGGGAAAATCTAGTTATAACACAACTGTTTGTATTAAAGTAAAACTGTAACATCATCCATTGGTACTCCAAAATGCCCCTGCAGAGACAATTTGTTTCAAATGTTTATTTTCTAAAGAGAAATAAGTACTATATGTAGCATTTAGAGATTCCTGCATTGATAGAAGTCCCTTAAAATGCTTTGAATTGCACAAAAACAATGCAGGAATACACAAACACACACGTGCACATCACCTGTCTCAACCATCTGTTACTCTATGGGGTGTCATTCAGAGGAGAATGTTTTGTGTAAGAGATCCGTGCTGTTTAGCATTATTGTGTGTATGTGTATCAGAGGTAATTATAAAGAGCATGTGTGTGACTGTGGGTGGACTCAGCTTATGTCGATCGAAGCAGATGTCCCCTGCAGGCGATGTATTTGCCATGCAACAGAGCTAAAGCTATCCACTAGCTCACATACACAAAGATTGTGCTTCAGTCAGAATATATCTTTGTAAACTGCTTAGACAGAGTCCATATTGAACAAATATCAATCAATATAAGGGATTAATAACATGAATGATATGATTAAATCATTAATTGCAGTTTTAAGGGGGTAGTGGTATCTCCCCTGTGACATCTAATTTGAGCCTTTAAGGCAACTGACACAGGTCGACCTTATTAAGATTCAGGCCAGTCCTAACCCTGTCCTGCCTCGGCCTGGCTCATATTCACAGCAGCAACACACTGAGGAGTCTCTTCAGAGGCATGCCGGCCCAGTTTCTCAGCTCTCTTTGACACGCCCGTGGATTTGACAATGCTTTTCCCTACACTCTCTCCAGTTTTTCTCCTCTGCCTTAGAGGGATCCTCCTCCCACCCATGGTTGCCCGCATAAACGGAGAGGACTGAGGGGATTTCCTGATGTGTGCAAGGCGACTGTATCCGATCGTATCCTTGTGTGTGTGTGTGTGCCGCCTGGCAAGTGTGTGACACACTTTGCTTTTGCTCAGCTAATGTCCTAGCTAAGTGTCCTGATTAAGTTAGTCAGAGGAAATGTGGGCAAAAGGAGAGAAGGATGAACATGGGGTCATGTATGTATATGTATATTAGTATACAGAAAACAAATATACTGAGCTTATAAAGGGATGTTTGATAATGATGATGATGATGTGTCATTTTGGTCTAAGTGATATTGCTACTGGAAATAAAAGCAAAAACTGGTTTGTGGCAGAAACTGAGCAATAGTTTAATCCTATTTTGTTAAATTTTTACAGTTTGTATTTTGTTATTATCTTGTTACAGCATAGTTTTGATCTGTTGGTGTTTTTGTCTTTTGCACTTTAACTGTGTGGTCATATGATGTAGTAATCCTTACACATTTTCTACTGATTTCAATCATACGAAACATATAATAATCAATGAAGATCAGGGAATACATGCGATCAAATCAATAATAGTCTATTAAAAACGAGCAATATGATCTTTCTTTGAGATCTCACACAGACACTATTTTTTTTTTTAATTCTCAGTGGACTTGCTGCAGACAAGCAGTCGCCATGCTCACTTCTCTGAATGAGACTGATCAACATGACTTCTCTACACCTACATAGCTCACTACAATAATAATTAATTAGGTCAAAGGAAACACCTTTCGCTAGGTGATGTGTGTTTTTGTGTTTTTGTGTTTGTGAGTGTGCATGCTAATGACCGACCCGGGGACAATCATTAAGCGTTAAAGACGATAATGGGACAGAGCAAAGACCTTCCTCTTTGTCAACAAGATTATTGACAAAGTCAAACTCTGTGCAGAGCTAAACCTTCATGTGTACATCAAGGATTGTAAATTCCATTCTACATATACTAATAATAATATAATAAATATACCATAAACAGGTTACCATTCTGTTCGTTTTCACATTCACATAATTATTTATTTCAGTGTAGATACCTCACAAGACATACTTCATTTTTACCTCATCAAACCTGTCGAAGGAGGCGCCTTCCTGCATGAATTCAGGCAGGTGCTTCTGCCAGTTGAACTCGTAGGACTTAGTCATGGCTGCTCACAAACCTGAGACAAACAAGGGAGAAGAGAGAGACAAAACAGACCAAAATGTACTAGTTAAAGCACTGCAACAACCAGGTGTGAAGGATCATAGAGGTTTCAAGGAGGGATTGTTTGTTTCAGTATATTATATGCACTACAACGGTCTTCCTCTGTCTTGTAGTCCAAAGAAGATGCTTAATTCACTGAGCATTGTTACTATACAAGGCCCTCTAGGGGAGCATCCTAAAAAATCTTCTCCTGAGAGGTAGAAGAAATGAACAACAAACCAGGTACAAATGAACAAGATCAGATATGTAGGATTTGGGGGGTATTAATAGTTCAAACACACGAGTAGAACTCAGATTATTAAGAATAAAAGTGAGAACAGATCCAGTACTTAAATTTTCAAGTGTGTATATCCTGATCACTGGCCACAAACAAATCCTGAGTAGAACATTATAATCCTTTAAATGTTTTGGACAAAAACTTGATCCAAATGATAGAAAACTGCTATGTTTTAAACTAAAACAATGAGCATGTATAATCAACAACACAAAATGTTTTATTGGGATCCACTGTACTGGTGTTTGGGTGACAACATTCAAGGGGAGACAGTAAAACCTTTAGCCAACAAAAGTCAAAACTTCAAGACCCCTCTACAAACAAATAAACTGCAGCACAACGCAGAGTTTAAATTTTGTACATTTTTACACCTAACTTTAAAATTTGACAAACCGAGTTGAGAAGAAGTCCATGGTTACATTTGCCTCTTCTCAGAGGCTTTTATTACTTGACTGTCAGCTGTTGATGTGCATACTTGTATATTCCTTTGGAATATATCCAGTTGTCAAACATTAAGCAGTGCAGACATTCTCTCAGCAGATATGGGATTTTTTAATAGACAGTAATTTTAAACAAAGTCTAGACTAGATTATGGGCTAGCCTTCGACTAATGCGCAGAAACGTTCATGTTTTTTTTTTTTAAAAGGAAAACAAATCAATCTGTGTGGTTATAAAAATCTTTTACAAGGCTCTGTATTGCAATCGTTTGATAATGCAGTTACTGGCACAACAGCACTTTAAAGTTGTGAGAAAATTTGCTTTTTAGATTAATTTTGGATTCAGGAAGAACACACAGAAGTTGCACACACAGATATGGAGTGAGACACACCATAGTGTTAAAACACTGATTTATAGATTATTTGGACTCATTATTTATTTATCACACTATAATTTGCTATATTTAACAATGTAATTGCACATTGATTATTCTTCTCATAGCGTGCAGGCCTATACCTAATAGAAATTGAATAACTTCTGGATAAAGCTTAAACACACAGGATGAGTGTATCTGACAGTCACAAAGCATCTGAGGTTAGAATCTAGCAGAGAGCCTGAATTTGCACCGTACTTTCACACACACAAAAAAAACAACTAGTCAGGCTTGGTTCATGTGCCACACCTGCACGTGCAGCATCACACAATATATCCAGCTCAGGGAGGGGAGGGGGTCTTTTCAGGAAACTGCTATATTGTTGATAACACCACCCAAATATAGGCTCTCTTGACGTCAGCTGCAAATGTGTCAGGCAAAACTGAGAACATGACAGCCTATGTATAGTCTGGGAGCTCAGACGGTATTAAGTCATTATGGGAATACTGTGAGATGTGATAAGGATATTTTTTAGTCTTTAGGGTTACAATAATAATCACAGAGGGCACACGCTCTAATGTAAAGAAAATCCCATGTAACAAAAACAATATCCTTCCCAATAGGAGATTTTGCAATGTACTGTAGATAATGCTGCAAAGGTGTCATGAAGGTGTGATCATTTTCAATGATATATGAGTGTGTGTGTGTGTGTGTGTGTGTGTGTGTGTGTGTGTGTGTGTGTGTGTGTGTGTGTGTGTGTGTGTGTGTATATATATATATATATATATATATATATATATATATTTTTTTTTTTTTTTTTTTTTTTTTTTCAACAAGTTTTATTGGTGAAACAATCCATTTTCTCTCCCAGCAATAATCAAAGTGGAAGTTGATCAACAGGAAGAAAACGTGGTAGATAGAGAATGGTTGATACAGAAGCAGTGAGAAATAGCTACAGAGTGTTCAAGATGCTGGAAGAGAGAAAGAGATTAAAGGCAAGAGACAGATAAGAGAGAGGCTAGAGAAAATAAAAGCACAGAATGCAAATGTAGATATAAGGCCAGAGAGAGGAGGCAAAGGGGGAGGGGGGGAGAGAGAGAGAGCGAGAGAGAAAGAGAGAGAGAGAGAGAGAGAGAGAAAGAAAGAGAGAGGTGGAAAAGAGAGCTGAGAAGCTGAAATAAGAAGTGTATAGATAAAACAGAACAGTTGTGGGCAGGGAGAGATTGACTAGGTAGACAGCTGTTTGTGACATGGTGGGGGAGCGGAGGGGGGGGGGGGGCAGCAGGGTGGATGTCTGCTTTTCATGTTGGGATCACAGATCAGAAACCACATCAAAAGCAGACATTACAGAAAACTACAAGCAGCTTGGGCACCCGGCATGACAAATGCAGATGAAGAGAGGCTTTTCAGATGTCAGGAGCATGTTCTTCGAAAAAATACAGAGAATCAAAATGGCTCGATGATTACTCAGGAGCGCCTGAGAGCTAATCCCACCCCAGTGTGCAGATTCATTAAGATATAATGACTCTTGATTAGGGACGTCATTATTCTTCAAATCAACGATTGGATTTCGACTTCAGATTGTATGATCATGATTAAACTTGGTTTGTTTTGTAATTTACACTGAAGAGCATATCTATTCACCTTCGCTTGCACAGTTAATTTCCATAATGGATATGACAATGTATTATTTTGTTCATCTTCAGGGACACAGTGCATTAAATAATAAAATAATACTGTTAATAATCCAAAATATGCCTGATGTAATAGAGATGTGAAATTAATACATATATAACCTTCTAGCTTCTCAATCATATCAAGCAGAGCAGGCATTGGCAAAGCAAAGCATGTTTCAGAGAAATATATTTAGTGAAGAATATGGTGTAAGACAAAGAAAGAGTTGTAACTTCTTTAGGTAGAAGTCTTTATGGTTTGTCTGAGACAACACAGATGCTCATGCTCTGCTGAAATAAGTCTATGTAAAATCCATATAGTAAGTATTTTGTGCCTTGTGACAGTGCGATGTAAGCCTCGAGGCTTTTTCGAAATTAAAGTACTCGATTGATTCAAGGAATCGTTTCCGCCCTTGGACAAACCAACTAATCACAGATTGCAGATCTGCATGTTAACAGCATATCAAAGGATTGTTTATCTTAATGTGTCGAGATACAAGCTCAGCAGTATGTCTTTTTCAGAATAAGGGCAAAAACTAAAATGTTTCTGCATGCAAACAAATTTGTTACAATAATACAGTTACATTTCTTTAACCTCGAGGTGAAAGTAACATTTACACACCCATGACTAAAGGAAGCAGGGGGATTTCCCACATCTGTTGATCTTGTTAAAACTTTGTCTCTGTCATCCCTGCAGTGACCAGGATATCTTCTCAAGTACAGCCTCGAGCTCTTGGTAAGTTATGCTGCATCATCTTTCAAATCATACTGAGAATCACAGATCCTGCTTAAGATTTTGATCATCAAAATGGCAACGCTCAATCTAAATACTGTGAAATCCGAGAAGTCACTAAGAAAACATATCACTACATCAATTCTGCAGTGTCACAAGGGGAGAGGCCAGGGAAAAAGGATCTAACACCATCAAACCCAGCCCTCCTCCATCTGTGACATCCTACCAGGGGACCACAACACAGACACACACATCCTGTCAGGGGAATGAAAACACAGATGCACACTTCCTGTGGAGATTAAGAACTGAAACCAGGCAGAGCGCCAAAAACACAACCCACAGAGAGAAGGCGAGTGTAGATGTGCTACACCCTGCGTAGATTAGCAAATAACACTAAACCAATTCTGAGAGAAATGATTATGAATATTTAGGAATTTAGTAGAATTAGGAATATTGTTTTTAATGGACTCCTGAGTCTGTCGATGAAGATGATAATATTCATAATCATAATCAGATTCTAAATGATTCAGATAGAACACTCACATGGCTAATTTGGACTAATTGGGTTGTGCTGTCCTGTGGTAGCCTAGATCTTTCCACTCTCAACAGTATGCATTAGATAACATTTCCTCAGCGAAACGAAATCTGTCCAATAGGAGCAATGCATGCAGAGGTTCTGTAAGGCCATGGCAGCGCCCACACCGGGCGCATGCTCCTGGACGTGTGAGTGTGCACGTGAGGAGCCGAGGGAAGCTGAAGGAAGCGAGTGAGGTCCGAGCCCCCTGTCCAACCCCTGACAATGAGATAATTACGATAGATAGGAGCCTCGTGAGGCACACTGTTCCCAGCCTCCTCATCTAAAATGGCAGCTAGGGTAACACCCAGCGGTCCCACACCTCATAAACTAAAATTAGGCTACTGCTACATCAGTCAGCCAGTGGTGGAAGGGTTGACTGGGGACACGCTGAAATGGACGAGGGTGAACAACACACACGCAGTGAGACATATCTGCGGAGGCGGGCACATGAACCAAAGCTCTCCTTAACTTAATACCTGTTGGGGATTAAAAGGGCTCAAACATTACAAACAACATGTTTTGCAACTCTGCCCAACAGAGTGAAACTCTGAAAACTGAGAGAGAAAACAGGCTTGTAAGTCAGACTCACTTTCATGCCTCATTTGATCTAACAGAACAAGTCATCACCTGATGTTTTTGTGTTACCATCATCATGCATTCATTTGAGATTTCACCTTATCTAACCGATCTGAGCAATTGTTTTGGACCATACTGCTCGAAAGACATTCAGCTAATGGACATGAGGATCTTAAAATGCCTATAAATGAACTACATTTCTGAAATATCACAGAATAATCTACAATCACAAGTTCTAAAGATCTTAATATTCCAATTAATTAGATGACTCCCGACTCAGACTCTGAGAAACCTAAACTGAGTTTCATGGAC